ATGCATTAGCCACTATTACATGTGAAGTTACACGAATTAGCAATTTGCTTCGTGATCTTAATGTGCCTTGTCCTTTCTTGTTAAGGTATATTGTGACAATCAAGCTACTATCCATTTGACTCATAACCCTTCATTCCATTAGCACAACAAGCATATTGAGCGCGACTGTCATGTTACCAAAGAGAAGATAGTTACTGATCTGATTCATTTGTTACTTATATCTACCACTCAACAGCTCGTGGATGTTTTCACCAAAGCCCTCCATTCCGCCTCATTTTATGATCTTATTTTCAAGTTGGGGTTGTATGATATCCACCTTCCAACTTGAGAGATGAATAATAAATGAATACGTGAATACATTAGGTATAATGTATTCATTAGGTATAATGTATTCACGTATTCATTTATTATTCATCTGTCATCAATTTACTTTTCAGATAGATGGTTAGATAGTTTGCTTCTGAATTATCCGCTTTCTGTCTGTAATAGTCTATTGTAAGTAGTTAGGAGTGGTTAGTTCTGTTTACTATTCATGTAGCTCATGCCTAGTATAAATAGTTAGGTATGCTATACTTTTTTGTACTTTTCATTTTTCTGATCTGAATGAAGCATTGTTCATCCCTTCTATACTCTAAGAGAGCTTTCAAAAAGAACTAACATGGACGTGGAAAATGAAGGACATATGTGTGTTATGTAAATTGATCAGTTTTTCTGGTTTGCCTACCCAATTTTGAGTAAATATCACGAGGGAGAATATGAAGAGCTCACCCATTAGTTTCAACTGCTATCCCCAGATTTGGGTGGCGACAGTAAAGGGGAATATGCCATATATTATGTTAAAGAGAGTAGTGTGAAGAGGTGAGATTTTAGTCAAATGCGATTGGCCCATTCATTGGAGATTACAGTTTTGTACTTTTGTCAAGTACATGTCGTAGAAAGTTTTCGTAGTTTTTAATATCGTATAAATGTAATTGAGATATCCCTTCTTACATCAAATTAAAATATGATGTTTTACAATTATATCCTCTCTTTTTTTATTAACATTTTTACCCACTCCACCTACTTGAATCAAATCGATGCCACAATGGCTTTCTCAATTATGCCATGGATTTTATGAGTTAGCCTGATTACTTGAATTCCATTATGGCAGTAGTATATATACCACTATGTGATGCATTTCTTGACATTAAGCATGCCATTATTTGTTTATTTATTAGTTTTTCATGTTCATTACTTGATCAAGCCACATATATATGACTGAAATATTTTGAAAATTAAACATGACTAAGAAATGCTTACAAGTCACATATATATATATATAATATATATTCTTTCTTTTACAAATACAATGTAGTAGTTGTGAAGAGAAAAACAACAGAAGACACTCCACGGCACCCGCCAGCATATCTAAAGGAAACAAGTGAAGCCAAACCCTAAACTAATTTAAAGGAAACGAAACAACATGGTGTGCCACACCTCTTATTTCTTTATATAAGACCACTCTCATATAATACCATTATAGGTAATAATAATATACATAGACGAAAATACACAGTACAACATATCTAATAGAAAGTAACACGTAGCATCTAATAGTCAAAGAAGAAAACGATTCTCTTTCTGCAAGTTATTTTTGCCACATGAGAGGATTTCTAGTACTGAACTCTTCGTACTTCCCCGTCCGTATCAAAGTAAAGTTATATAATTAATCGCTTTATTCAATACTTTTTTGCAAGCACACTATAGCTCCAGCTAGCTAGCGTCTTCTTGCAGCCGTTTCCCTTTGTGCATTGAAGTAAACAGCAGCCACAGGAAGACCAAGGTCATTCTCTGCTGCGAAATTTCTGGTGTTGAAGTGATCCCTTGAAGGTGGTGGAGTAACAGATTGCCTACGTTTTTGTTTGAACAGCACAAAGACAAACCTGTGGATCCCAATATTTGGCTTTGGGATCTCATAGCTCACCAACTCTTTGCCTACAAAATGATACTTATCAGTCTCTGTCATGACTCGACTCGTGAGTAAGTCTCCACACACACATATATATATATATATATATATATATATATATATATATATGAGGCAGGATATTCTTATACTGGTGTAAGAATAAGTTATATATATATGTATGTAGTAGATCAATCAATATGTGATCATGAACCTACCAAACGTGGCATCTGTTGTGCCTGGAATATCTGTCACTATCCTGCAAAAAGAAGTAGTTTGAACAAAATTTGACTGTTAGATACTTGTGAATGATTGGTTTGCATTATATACTGTTACAGCCCAAGTAACTATCTAAGCTTAATCAAATAAAATAACTGGTTTCTAGCTATCAATATATTCTATTTATATGAAGTACCAGTGCAAGTGCTCTCTTAGGTAAGGATCACTAGGGCCGGGAACATCAGGGTCTGTCATGACCTGCAATGAAAAAGGGAGACACTTAGCTTAATGATTAAGATTTTTTAAAGAGCATTTCAATAAAAGAGACATTATACAGTGTGAGTACAATTATAGAACACAAGCAAAAAACAAACAGGAAAACAGCTCAAGTTTTTTTTTTTTCCTTCCCTTTTCTTTAAAGAAAAAGGAATTAGAAGAAAGGAGAAAAAAGAGATTATGGGATTTTTTTAAAAATACATACCAGTGTAAAGAAGGACCTCATATCACCACCATCAATGTCAACCTTGGGCTTGGTGGTGACAGTGGAAGGGAAGAGCTCATGCCCATTGAAGACTTGCTTGTTGTTGTAACTCACGGTCATTTTTATGCTTGTGGTAAAAAAATCAAGAACTTCTCCTATGACTCTCCCAACAATTAGAGGTTCTGATGACATTCTTGCCATTAAAGAGGAACAAGGAAGAAGAGAGAAGAAAGCTGAGTAGAACTGAAGCACACAACTTGAGAATTCCTGCTGAGAAGTGAAGTAATGAGCTCCATATTTATAATGTCTTTAAAGTATCTTTCATGGTAGAGCGAGAGTGTTTTTTTTCTTTTCCCCTTTTAAAATATATTGCAAGATATAATTTAAATATAGAGAAAAGATTAGGTCTACGGAAGGAAAAGGCTTATAAATCAGGTGCGGGTGCTCCCACCCACCATTGTCTCTTTGGCTCATTTCAACAAATGCCTGTGGGATGTTTCTGCTGAAATCATGTTAGTCATATTATGTGACAAATCCTTCATTTTTTTTATATTATTCATTGATCAATTACTCGACTAATCCAATTTGAGTCAAGTAAGATCATATAAATGACAAAACTCTTATTACAAATTTTTTAACACAACTACGTTACATGAAGATGAACTCAAATTCGAAACTACTAATTAAATTAAAATAATTCCTTATTAATTAATGCAGGTGCTTGGCGAAAATGCTTCTCTCTTCGTTTTTCTCTCTCATGCACACAGAATGGGGTCCCTTGGAATCGGTTCTTGATTGGCTGTACTTCTGAACAATGAATTTCTTGACCAATAAAAGCTTCACAGCTCAGGTGAGAAAAAGCATCATGTGTAACACTGTATTGTGGGTCCTCCCTTTGCAAGTTGTCATGCCTCTACCGTTTTATTAAAGGCAAAATTCTAGGCATTTTTTTTTTTTGCTTCTTGAACATCCGCATTTACTATTCTCTTTAGCATATAAGGCAATAGTACTAAGGACGTGGAGAAATTTTTCTTGTGTTCCTTGCGTAGAGAACCTTCCTTAATTGCATGCACACAAAATTCAATTTTTCTGTTTCTGGGTGTGTGATTCTCCTTTCTTTCCGCCATTGTCTTTCTTTTAATTTTGTTGGAAGATTCTTTGAGAAACAGGGCATAATTAAAGGAACTCCACCATAAATGCTCAAGGCTATACATGCCTATGAGGACTATGTTTGAGTGCCCAATGTCATTTCAGAATAAAACTAACTCTTATTAGATTCAAACCAAGTTCCAAGTTTGGAAAAAGAGGAAGAAGGTGGAGCTTCTTTAATTAGAAACCGTTCTGCCCTATTCTCATCCCCACACATGAAATTTTATGTTCTTCTCGTTCTGTTTATATTCTTTTGCTGGGGGAAATTAAATAAGGGGTTGACATGTGTGCACATACATGCGAATTCCAGAGAAGAAAAAAACAAACCCTAAATTTTGTGTGGCATAGTTGCATATATATTATATGGGTTTAGTGTGTGTCATTCAAAAGGACACAAGTTGTGTCCTTTTATGATTTACACATGGTACGACCGGTCATACTATGTGTGATTCTGAAAAGTTTTTTTTTTTTTCACTTTACACGTCAGTAATGTGACTGAGAAAAGAGAAAAAAAAAAGTAATTTTTCAGTATTACACAAAGTACGACCGGTCGTACTTTCTGTAAAACGCCTAAAATGACACAAGCTTGTGTCATTCAAAAGGATATTTTTTTTTCATATTATATAACATTGGTTCTAATTATACTTATATTATGATTGGAAAGTGGAATATGACCCTTTTCTTGCATAAATAAATTACAGGTACCATTTCATTAACGAAATATAATACTAATTAAATTAAGAGTTATCTTATGCGCCATGTGGAGACATGATTCCAAAATTGTTTGGTCTGGAACCGTTAGTTGCCTATTTTGGTATTAATTCCCATTTATTTTTCCAAATTTAGATAACGTAAACTTTTTTGTTTCAAAAGTTTCCATATTTTTTTAATGAAAATACTAAGCTGCCCATGTTTATCTTTTACTTCCTGTTTTTGTCGTTTAACTTAAGCAAAAGTTATTGATGCCAATGATGAAGCAGGGAATATCCTTTAGTCATTTTGGTATTTTATATATATATATATATATATATATATATATATATATATATATATATATATATATAAGGTTTACATTTCTATAGCTGTATATATATTGAAATTAATTTGCATGATATATATTCGAAATTAATAATGTTTTTTTTTGTTACAATATATATATGTATATGCAGGGTACCATGCAAGAGGGAGGGAGGTATTAGGTTCACCATGAATGGGAATTCTTATTTCAATCTAATAAAAGTGTGGAATGTTGGAGGAGATGGGGAAATAGTAAGAGTGCAAGTGATGAAGGATGATGGCAAGTTCAAATGGACAGATTTGAGGCAAAATTGGGGTCAGAATTGGGATACAGATGTTAGGTTAGTGGGAGAGAGATTGAGCTTCAGGGTGACAGCAAGTGATGGAAGGTCCAGTGTCTCAAGGCGTGTCGCCCCTAAGTATTGGCAGTTTGGTCAGACCTATGAAGGCAAAAACTTCCCATAAATGCTTCTCTGCAACACCTACATTTGGTGTTTTTCGATTTGTCTCTAGGCATTATGTTGATAATAATATAAATCATCACTTGTCTCATATGATATCCCTTCAAATAAAATTATTTTTATTTTATTTCTCTAAGTGTTATTGTTTTTTTTATTTTATCCCTCGGTTCATCGATTATTCGATTAGTTTGATTCAAGTAGTTTAATCCAAGTCTGTTGTAAGAGCAACATAGTTATAATTGAGATTTTACCTAAAAAGGAAAGGAAATAATAAATCGTAAAACATAAAATCATAAAGTCAAAAAAACATAAAACGTAAAAGCGTTAAAAATATTGATCAAAATGTAAAAAGAAAAGAAAAAAGATAAGGTTATATTTACAACTTATTTCGTTTATAATATCTTACAATCATATCTTAACCGTTGATTTTTGTCAATCAACAGTTACTATTTTCGCAAATCAAATTCATTAATTAATTATTAATTCACAATAATTACCACCCCTAAACACAAGGATTGCAAGAAAAACTATTTACCTTTTCTAAATTTTATTTAACCAAAAAATTCAAATAATAATTGGATTCTCCAAACCTTAAATAAATAAATAAAATAAAATAAAATAAAAAATAATGAAAAGTAATCATGAGCAGCTAAAGGATATAATGAAAAATATAAAATAACAAACATTGGTTAAAATTTCCTGAACTATGAAATAAGCCAAAAAAGCCCAAAATGACACGCGCACGCACTGACGCACACACGAATATTTCTAAACCAATCTTAAATGCATCAACAAGAAATTGATGTTTCATTAGATGAAAATTGGTTATTCGAGGTCCTCTAAATTTATTAAATTTTAAATTTTTAAAAAATCAAGAATTAAATTGTTATGATCCACAATAAAATTTATATTTTTAAATTTGTGGTACTTCTGAAAGATAGCATCACACAAATAATTGTCATCTAACAACATAGTAGTTATTATTTGACTAAATGAGCTTAATACATTTTCCAGAATATTAATGGAGGATTTAATGATATTAATTATTATATACTAATTTTTAAGATCTTTGTTTTCAAAAATTTGAATTCTTTGGGAGAAAAGTCAATCTGGTCATTGATAATTTAATGTGTTAATTATTATTTGATTGAACGAATTTAATGTTGATTGTAAAAATAACGTAATTGTATTATTTTTAAATTTTAATTATTATTCATGATTTTAATTAATATTTAGAAATAAAAGTAAAAGAGAAAGTAAAATTTGGAATAGATGATAAGATGAACCATAACATCCTGGAGTCTTGTTGGGAAAATTACACACTCTGGTTATATTGCCTACTCTAGAATGTTGCGACATGATATCCTAATCTTGCTAGTGGAGCCAGCAAAAATGAAGAGGGGTTGATGGATAAAAAAATTTCACGAAATAGTAATTGAATAATTTTTTCACAAAGTGGATCACATCAAACTTTTATTCTTTATATATTTCATTCATATTTCTTTATGCACTACTTTGTATATGTCATGTAAGGTTAACAATATACAAAACCTACTACTATCTTACATGAAAAGAAACAAATTAAATAATGGTGCTTATAAGGAAAGAAATAAATGAAAATAATGATGATTAGTTGATTACTGATTTGAAGAGGTGATTGAGGTGTTATTTTGCAAATGTCATCCAATTAGACTATAAATATACATTCTTTCACTGCTATCTTAATGTGAACGAAACAAACTAAAATATCTGTGATTACAAAGACACGATTTTTGAAGGAATATATATATCTTCAATAGTAACGGAATAATATAATTACTCATTTACTAGAGAAGGAAAAAGTGGAAGTTCAGGATAAATGGAGAATAAATGCAATTAAATAGGTTTTTTTCCGCTTCTGTAATTTGAATGAATAATTCACAGAATCGTTAGTATTAATGGAATACTGGAAATATTTTCCATTTGGAGAGGTGATTGCTGTGTCATTTCCAAAAACATTAGACAAAGTAAGAACCTTGGACCTTATATATATATTCGCCAACACCAAGCTACAACATAATCTAGAAGAATACTTCTAATCAAACCTGCAATTCCCATGGCATTTCCTTTGGGAATTCTTTTGTTCTTTTGCATTGCCAATTTCTGATGTGCATGCAGACATTATCTCCCCATGGAGATATGAAGCTTATAACAATTTTGAAGGAGGTCACAGAGTGGGCGTTACCCGCAAGCATCATCGCCCCAAGTTTAGCCCTAGCCAATGGAAGGAGGCTCATGCTACCTTCTATGAAGGAAACTCCGGAACATTTGGTATGATCAATTTTGAATGCTGATCAATGTATAGTTTTCATTTAATCCATTACATATACTACAAACTTTTTCATCATAATAAAATAGGGGTTTATACCTCTCATGTCACTTCATTCAAAAAACATCTACCGCTCTCACATCGATTCTTGTGCCCAGCTTTTTTTCTTTTTCTTTTTCAAAAAAATAAATGAGACCCCAGCAACTGTTTCTATTGCATAAGATGGTTGTTCTCCTTTGAAAGGAGAAGTTGTTTTTCCAATAAAATATGTTCGTTTCTTATTATTTTTAGGGAAAAGTGTTTATATTTGCTACATTATATAAAGTTATCTCCAGCGACCCTAACACGAGACGTCGTTTTGGGATTTGGATAAAGAGTAATTAGTGTATTTCAGAAATTGTACTTTTCTTTTATATCATGAATTTTATAAAATTATTCAATATTTAAGTCCTAAAATAGTGTTGTTCTAGGGTTGAATGATTATTTTATGTAATTGGAGAAACGTTAATTTTTTTTTTTATGCATACATGTCTTTTACTTACGAAGAAAAAGAATAACTTGATTGCAGGAGGAGCTTGTGGGTATCAAGATGTGGTTAAAGAAGGTTATGGGCTTGACACAACAGCATTGAGCACAGCTTTGTTCAACAATGGCCGGACATGTGGGGCATGTTTCCAGATCAAATGTGTAAACTCTCAATGGTGTAAAGGCCAATCCTCTATTTATGTCACAGCCACCGACCTTTGCCCTCCAAATTATAGTATACCAAGTGACAATGGAGGATGGTGCAACCCACCACGCAAGCACTTTGACTTAGCCATC